TCAATTTTGACGACAAAATCAATTGTCTCAGAACTTGGTCAGAAACCTGTGAGTTAGGATTTTGTTATTGATATAAAATGATATTCTATCCCTCTCTCAAAAACCACGACTACAGAATTCTCGCCTTATTTTGTCACAATATTTTTGATAATTTGAGCGACGACATTTTCGGCAACGAATACATATCCTACCTGCCGCTTGAACACATTTAAAAGAAAAAACTAACTTACGACTTCTGCAGAAAAAAATAACGAAATCAAGCATTTACTACAATGTATCCTCAAATTGCTCTATGTACCACCTAAGGACCTCAATTATAAAAGCTGCCTCTAGCCGAAATCTATTTCTCTGCCCAATCAACTTACGTGCCGCTTACAACTGATGTTTATTTGAAAAAAAAGTGCGTGCCCTACAGTTTGAAGATTGCATCTATGAAAGAGAGCTGTCTTAAGACTCCCAAAAAAAATCAGCTTTCACATCATATTCTCAAAATACTCTACCTGTTATACAGGGTGTCCCAAAAAAATGTTTCGAACGTTTGATCTTTAATATCTCTCTTCCCAAGAAGTCTTTTGCCTTGCTTCAGGTACCGTTTTGTAGAGCTGGCTTCAACTTAGATTTGCATTATAAAACGAATCACCCATCTCTCTTCATTACTGTAGGATTACGGTAGAAACTTGAAACATATGGTGTCAATATGGAAAAGCTGCCTTTTCAAAAATTTTCAAAATAATGTGAAAGCATGTGTAATAGGGTTTTTATGGACGCTGAGTTCAATACTCAACGATTCACAAGATTACGAAGCTTTCTAAACGGTGTAACCGCACTTTTTAAGAACATTGAAAAAATGGCCGCTACCTCTTACCTGGCATAACTCTTCAATGAAGCATCATAACAAGTTGGGAACTTTACAGTTGTAATCAGCAACTCTAATTAGCCTAGTGTAAAAGTTTTCAGGCTGTTTTGTTTCTCTTTTTTGAGGCAAAATATGGCCTTTCATGGCCCAAAACCCTCTTTGAAGTTTCTACCGTAATCCTACAGTAATGAAGAGAGATGGTTGATTATAATGCAAATGGGTGATTATAATGCGTTTTATAATGCAAACAATGCATTTGCATTATAAAACGCATTATAATCACCCATTTGCATTATAATCACCCATCTCTCTTCATTACTGTAGGATTACGGTAGAAACTTCAAAGAGGGTTTTGGGCCATGAAAGGCCATATTTTGCCTCAAAAAAGAGAAACAAAACAGCCTGAAAACTTTTACACTAGGCTAATTAGAGTTGCTGATTACAACTGTAAAGTTCCCAACTTGTTATGATGCTTCATTGAAGAGTTATGCCAGGTAAGAGGTAGCGGCCATTTTTTCAATGTTCTTAAAAAGTGCGGTTACACCGTTTAGAAAGCTTCGTAATCTTGTGAATCGTTGAGTATTGAACTCAGCGTCCATAAAAACCCTATTACACATGCTTTCACATTATTTTGAAAATTTTTGAAAAGGCAGCTTTTCCATATTGACACCATATGTTTCAAGTTTCTACCGTAATCCTACAGTAATGAAGAGAGATGGGTGATTCGTTTTATAATGCAAATCTAAGTTGAAGCCAGCTCTACAAAACGGTACCTGAAGCAAGGCAAAAGACTTCTTGGGAAGAGAGATATTAACGATCAAACGTTCGAAACATTTTTTTGGGACACCCTGTATATGGACCGTCAATTATGAAAACTACCTCAAAGGAAGGAAAATCTGTTTTCCTGCCTAATCAAAACTAGATGTCGCTTGCAGACCGATATCCATAGAAAGAAGGGCGCCAGCGGGAAGTTATACAAGCAAAAACAAGTCTTTCCCAGACAAACGCTTCCAAAAGTACCAGCGACCCAGTTACTCACGCGCCCTCCTGTCTAGGAACGGAGCAAGATTATCCCAATCAAATGTTTTTAGAGCATCTTATACCAAGAGTTCTACAGAATATACATGTATTTGGCTGAAGTTATGCTGTTACGCGATTTGGCATTATTTTAAAATAAATAATAGGAGTCGGAGTACAATATATTTGATTAACAAATTATGGACTAATAAGCATGAAAAAATCAGTTTGCACAAATAACACACCCGGACACTGGCGACCCCTCAAAGTCCTTTAACTCTCATCACTCAGGATTGCTTTTCGAAGTACGTGTGACCCTTTTAATATAACTTTCTTCGGTTACTCCCTATGACATTTGGCACTACTCCAAAGCGCGTGCCACTATTGGCAGCAATCCAAGGACCAACGTCAGTATGTTTACCATAATTTCTCCGTCTGTTGCCTCCTCATTTGCCGTGATCCACGGATTTGGGGAAGCGTAGTGATATACAAGTTCCCATTATGTGTTGCGTAGTGTTGTCGACGTGACTCCTAGGTTGTGGTAGAGGGGCTTAAAAAATGCTAGCGGCAAACCTGGCTTTGTCTATCAATAATATTAGGTTGGTGCAAAAATAATGAGCGTTTTCCCATTTTTCTCTTTAAATTGCTACAACTTTCTACAAAATGTACATTTTGAAATGTGATAAAGACCGTCAGATGCAGCGAATTTTTCGCAGTACAGCGCACATCGACATATACTCATATCTTATATGGGCAGAAAAATATGGATTGAAAAACGAAAAAGTTTTTTCTGAAGTCTTGTTTCTGACAAAACATAACTCCTTTCACACTTTGTTATTATGATTTATAAGCCACCTATCTTGTAGCCGCAAGCTAGTAATACATATATACATGAAAACAGTTTGGAGAAAAAAGATTAGCGAAGAGGGAGAAATCGAAATTCAAAAATATCAACTTTTTCAGCATTTTTTCAGTAGGCCTTAAAACCCCGAAGTACAGAATTTTCTAATTTTCTGCGTATGAACAGCTGGATGTTTTTGCAAAAACTGCTATTAGCACTCCTACCCTCACGCTTACAGAGCTGAGCAAAGTTTGAGCGACTGCATTCTACAAAAGAAGGTTCTGGGCTTTAAAATGATCACAACCACCACCCATGTTAAGCCGTCGATATCTCACTTTATGTAACTTTAAAAAGTATGGTTAAATATGCATAATGTAGACAATTTCTATTACATATAGCAGCTAAATTTTCGATAAAACCATCTTCATTCGAGCTCAAATTCTGACCAGAAAAATGAATGCAACGAAAATCTGGTTTTGAGTGCGATTATTTGAAGCTCTATAAATTCTTAACAGAGTGGGCTAGAAGCCTTTTTCGAAAACTATTAGATAGAGCATGAAAAGAGCTTTCTAACAGTATGCTGAAACCCTTACAAAGAAAGAAGTTGATGAAGAAAAGTTGTCCTGAAGAAAGCCCTAGGAAAACGCTCATTATTTTTGCACCAACCTAATATTTGCGTAATCAGCATGCTCACTTACCCTTGGTGCCAGCTCCCGGGCCTCATTGGTGGAACTTCGCGAAAAGTTGATAAAATCGATATGGATCAATGATGAAACGCCTACGACACCCGCTCCGTCCCGAAATGTATGCTTGCAAAGTCTGGATCACATCAGAAAAAATTTCTACGAAACATGCGTACACACATATAGGCCGCTGCATAACGAAGGTGCAGTATCTTTAAGCCCGAATGCGGCTTTACTAGGCGCGGAGCGCATGAGGCGCAGGATTTACGACGGTGAAGATACGCGCGCGCAGCGTTCCCCTCAAATAATACTGCTTATGCGCCTTCCTTAACCGGGCCTTTACATACCTACATACATACATATGCAGGCAGACAGAGAGACAAACAAACAAACATTCAGCTTTATTTGAACAATTTTCGTGTACATTCTTCAGCAGACTTTGCTTCACTGACTTTGTTGTTTGCATTCTTAACGCAGACTGTCTTCTAAGTTCTAAACCATTCTGGTTGCCGTGTTCTAATTTCAGCTTATAACTCAAAGTAATCTTTCGAGGGTCCTTCGCCGGTCAAGATTCTCATCTGTAACGTTTTTGAAAGTGGTGTAGTCTTCGCTTCTATTTATGCTTGTACTTATGCTTGTGGTCACCAAAATAGTCCCGAAAAGCTTTTTGCTACACCTGAGTTTGGCAATACCAAAAATCTCGGTCTCTGCTTTTTGGAAGTGTAGTGATGATAAGTGAATAGAGTAAAAAAAATCTTTGAAATTTAAGAGTTCCAAAATCACTTATTATTCAACACTTTTTTCAAAATAATAAGCGTACACGCCTTGAGTTATCAAATTTATAAATTTTGGGTGCAGCCATAGGCGTATTTGAATATTCGTAATTAGATTATCTCTGAGGATTCACAATCAGCGAAAAAGAGACGACCAGAAAGAGGAGAAAAAGCTGCATTCAACAATACCTCGATTGCTTGCCATGGGATGTTCTGTGAATTTTGGCTTTACCAAATATGGAATTCGTTAACAAAAATAATTTTGGTGAACCTAAAAACTGGCTTGAGATGGCAAAATGTTATAGTGTTGCACTTTGTTTGCACTTAATCAAAACGAAAAATTTGAAATATTGACGAAGTTGGGTATGGTAAAGGCCATAGATTCCAAAACCTACGATTATTTATCTCAGTGATTTTGAAAGCAAAGAGCCCAAAAACTTAACTGCTGCAAAAAAAGATGAAAATCTGTGTTAAATAGTTTTCAAGTGTTTCTCATATTTATTGCAAGTGATCTTATGTTAGCGAAAAACGGAAGGAACTTTCGCAACGATCTAATATATTCGAAAATTTCAAGTGATTACTTTTATTAATAAAACAGTCGCAGTGAGCAAGAAGAATTAGCAATGCAAATGCCTATCGACAAAGCTTCCAATAATTCTGGCAGTCGTCCAATATGTTCACCGAATGATTGGTTGTTAATATTCAACGTCCAATTTTCTACACCATCCATAACACGCCGGAGAATTGATCGAAGATAAGTTGAAAGCCTATATTCGTTTGATCTCCTCTTATCTTCTTTACTATCTGTCATCAGAATTTCGTTTAGAGGGATGCATATCATTCTGTTTTGTTTGCTGTGCTTTCTCGAAAACATTGATTGTAGAAAGTTAACAGAAAAGGAGAATGAGAAATTGCGGGGAAGCTGTGGAAAGAAGGATAGAAGTGTGTTGCTTTATCTAAATAACCAAAATATTTCGAAAACTTTCATAATCCATTCCATGGATGAGTTTTACATGTCATATGCGTCAGATTCCAATGGTTCTGAAGTGTGGTTGAGGCCTTGGTTGAGGCCTTTTTTATTTAAACACTAATCACTTGCCCATTTATGGTCTTCTTGCCCTATTCAGCTTTCTGTGTTACACATTAGTTCCTCCTGTGACTAGCCTAATAGTTATCTGAATTCGACAGTTTCGATCAAGAAAAATGTCATAATGTCCAGTGGATTTGTTAAAGTTCCAGCTTTGTAGGTCTGACTAATTTCATGCATCTTTACTTTTCTCACATCATCGCGTTCGATTCTTGACAAAACTGAATTTATGCTGTCCGGCCCAGCAAGGATAATAATTCACACGCTGGATACCGTCTCTTTATAAGAATTACACATATTCCATGGTGATCCCCTCAAAAACTTGCTAATTTGATTGCATCGCAGCTCTAATTCTTGATGTTAGTCAACCATGCATAAGTCTCTTTATGCTCAGAGACGCTAATCATAGCCTCTGCACACTAAAGCAACTTTTTAAAAATGCTTTTATTCAGAGCCTACTGCGGTTCTGTACGGTTACCACAATAATTCGAGATCCAAAAAGGCAAGTAGAAGAAGATAGTAATAGAAAAGCTGTTCCAAGTATGCAGAAGTGCATGATCAACTTAGAGCGGGATGTATGGCACATTGGCAGAAATGATGAAGACCAAGAATAAATTCCCCATCTGCTTCATAGGCGGTCCGCGCTTATCAATACTCCTGTCGTCCGCACTGAATCATTCGCTTGAAATCCTAGTTAATGAGGCTTGACACGTCTGCTGGAAGAAGATTATGAAACTTCTTTGAGACCATTGGTAGGCATTAAGCGCAGATTTGAAATTAACGCTCTGTACTCATTGCAATGATAGAAAGCTTATCTCAGTTGGCCACTGCGATCTTGGGTCTCCCGGGTCAGATGTACGATTTTATAAGCAACTATCCTACAGAGGTGCCTGCTTTGTTTAAGGCCTCGGACAGAGTTCACGCGATTTGATCGTCGGGAATCAATCGCTACAGATAAGTGCTACGAGTTCACTGCACGGCGATCTTCTTGCATTTTGGTTGTGACAGTTTTCCCACACGACTAATCGTGACTAACTATCACAATTAAAATACAAGAAGATCGGCATGCAATGAACTCGTAACACTTGTCTTGTAGCGATTGAATAGCGACGATCAAATCGCGTGAACTCTGCCCGGCACCTAACTGAGTATGACATTTATCGCCACTGAACGAAAACTTCCACTTTGGTATTTCGATAAAGGTCATGAATCTAATGTCAGTCCGAAGTGAGATGTGTTTTGAAATGAAAAGTGTGAAATGATTTCAAACCATGTAGTGATCGGATTGTTGGACATTATGTTAAGGAGCATACTACAAAGTTTTCGGAGGATTGCCAGTGAAGCCGAATGAATATCCTTTTTTCGTCTCCCTCAGATATGACTTAGGTGACAGATTCCGCCCGCTTTGATCTAGCTATTGTTTAACGCTTCAGGTCGAAAAGGGGAGGAACTATGCGGAGGCTCACTAATCTCGCCCTATCATGTGCTCACAGCCGCTCACTGCATCATCAAATCAAGTAATTCTGCCACAGATGTTTGCGGAAAACCTCCGCTAGAAAGGAAGTAAGTGCTAGATGGGAAATTGGGAGCTGCTCACTTATCTTGGGCAATTGCATAAGTTGATTTGTTTAGCAAGGTGAACTGTCATTATATTGTCAGGCATTTTGTGGGTGTGCTTGTCTCTGTCTTTTTGTGCTAAAAAGGCCACCCTCGCCAGTTGACAACATCGTCTCATTTGACTTCAGTAACGCATCTCTTGCTATAGTATCCTGAGAAATATAGCTACATCACCTTTCATTTTCATTTCCAGTGAAAGAAAGATATAACCCATACCCCCGCGTTACGATCTTGAGGTATTTAACCAGCAAGCAACGGCGGATAAACTACCAACAGGTCTGCCGGGTAGAGCTCAAAACTCTATGAGCATGCAGCTAGTGTGCGAAACAGAATACTTCTACGTAACTGCATTCATCGAATCGACTGTAATCTACGGAGGTCGTACAATGCCTCTCGTTTGCTAGCCTCAATTCCAAGAATAAAAAGAAGCACACCGGAGACTCAGCCCAATCAATCTGCCGGGGAAGGCCCAAACTCCAAAGAGTAAGCAACAAATATTACAAGTCTGTTCAAATATATCAGGTGAGTAAGCTAATCAAATCTCATGCTGTGAGATCGATATAAGATAAGATCAGCGTTAGATAAAAAGCTTAAAAGCATTATGGTCCAACATTAAGCGAAGTTGAAAATGGCCGCTAATCGGTGGAAATCCGAGACAGTTATGAGATCGGAAACGGTCAAGAGGGGCAATTTTTCGAGGGTCAGCTTTTTAACAATTCAATTAAAATATACACGAGTCTTTCAAAACTACAGAAAGGTGCCTGGCTTATTAACTATCTAAATTTACCACTTGTGAATTTGTTGGTTTTTGGTGAAAAACTCAAAATAGCTACAATTTTGAACTTGAACTTTTATGTTACGGATATATTTCAAGATTCAAGCTAAAACGGCTGTAACAATGTTGTTGCATATATCCTCAGAAATTTAGAAGGTTTTAGAACATTACCAAACACCAAGAATGCTCAAACTGGTGTTTAACACCGCTCCTCTTGGCGTACACCCATACTCTTCCATGCGAACGTCTGGTTGCTCCGCGTAGTTATAAAAGAAGAATGCAAGATACGTTCAACATGCAAAAAAAATCAGTCTTTCTTTTCTAAGCTATCTTCTGAAAAAGGAACTCTTGGCACAAAAGATCGTATGGTATACTTTATTTTGCAAACATTTTTGATGCATTTTTGGTTGAAAAAACTTTTGCTTGAACATACAATGATAATCCAAGATCTTCTTTTAAGGGGTGGGGCGAGAATTTTGTAGAATGAACGGGCTTGGCGCAGTTACTCTTTGCGATTACTTTCTTGAGATGCTACAAAAACTTTCGCAGGGCTGTAGCAGCCACTCCCTTGTGAAATTTTTTTCACAAAGGTACTGAAACATTTCGAACCCAATTTAGTTGTTTACAGGTAAAAATAAGTCATCACATTTTTATAGTGACAAAGGCAGCATCAGATATCAAATCGAAAGTGTGCATAGGTTGGCTTGGATCCTTAGTAAAGCACATTCTCAAAATTAGTCCAATTCAAAGCCATGCTAGGCAATCAGAGAATGAATTTTTCTTCTCAAGATACTCTGAGTCCAAATTGTGCGATGTTTGATATTCGTTGATTGCTTACAGATTAGATGTCATTGAGATGTCGGAGGCGCAATGCTTTGCTAAGGTTCAATGGTTTTTGATTTCGTTTGATTTGAACCACCGAATTTTGCATTTGGCAAGAATTTCGAGTAATACTGGCGTTGGTTCTCTCACTTTTAACAAGGGAACATATTTGGTGTCCGTGGCCTTTTGAGGTAAAACGTGTACCATCCCATTCGTTTTGGGGCGCTGATTCCGAATCTGACTTCCTTTTCTGCTAATCGTTTCTCGAAAGAAGTTATGAAGGATTTTCGCGTCAATGGTCACCCAAGGGAAATACGGTCGAAACTTCCAAAAGAAACAGGGCCTGGCACCAGCTGGCACGGGGCAAGCTGGATATCGTTTTTGGGGCAAAAAGCAAAGGGGGTTTCGTTTTTGTGGGCGAAGACACGTGAAAAATTGGCGACCTTTTTTTTAGTCGACTTTTCGTTTTTGGGGGAATTTTGGGGAATTTTTCAGGTTTTTAGAGGGGATATCGTTGAGGGTCAAAGGGGACTTCGTAAAATTTTGGGCAAGTCAAAGGGGACTTCGTTTTGAAAATTTCCTGGTGCCAGCTCGTGCCGAGCCCTGAAAAGAAAGCTTGATTAAGACAATGTAAAACTGAAAGACACAAAAAGACTCGAACCTAACCCTACATTAACACGTTTCGGACCGGTGCTGCGCATGGTGCAGCACGCTGCTTTGAAGGATCTTTCTAATGTTTACAGGAGATTTTAATTTAGTCCAAAGTTATCAAGGCAAAGACCTAAGCTTTTACTTTTCAAATGGCTCTGTGTTATGCCGCCGATATTTGTTTAGGAGATATAAGGATAAATCGAATAATAGTTGCAACAAAGTGCGCCAACGCGAACGACGCGTGCGACGTCGCAAGTTTTCTTTGCTTCGGTATCAAAGAAAAAAACCGTAGTTTCAATACTGATGTGTACCGTTTACCACATAGATACTTTTGGATACCATTAGAAATGAAGTCCTTGTTCCTATCCTTCAGGAATACACAAAAGTCCTTCTCGAGCAACAAATTTAAACACTTCGAATTCACTCAGAACTTTAGGTATGGAACTTATCTGACAAGCCGATTACAGATGTAGAGCACAGTCTATGAAATAAGGTCCCTTTGTTGGCTAATGGCTGATGGTGTCTACCGTGTATAACATAGATACTTTTTACATGACATGCTGATTACAGATGTAACCCACAGGCTGCGAAATAAGGTCCCCTTGTAGGCTAACGGCTGAAAGCACACTCTTTTTCGCCGCGCGCGATTTCGCGGTCCGAAACGTGTTAACTTGCGAAGCTATCGCACTAGCCACTACACCACATCTCAGCGGCGGTTTTGGCCTTCCGACCACGTCTCCTTTGGCGCAAAAATTCTTCGTAACTTCTTTTGAAGAAAAGATTAGCCGAAATGGAAGTTAGATTCAGAATCATCGCTCCAAGATGAGTGTAATGGTATACATCTCAAAAGGCCACGGACACCAAGTATCGTTTCCTTGTAAGGGAGAAAACGCTTCGCACATTGTCTAAGCTAATTTGAATTCTTACCTGGTAAGAGTAGTAAATAGTTCTGAATGACATTGTGAAATTATGAGCTTGTTTCACCGCATTTCACCTTCTGTGCAAGCACACTATACTTACCGCTAAATCTACTCGACTGTAACTCACACGGCCAAACTTTTTTGACAATGAGAGCGATGCGTACCCAAGTCTGCTAGTTTTAGATTAAATTGTATTTAATTTATGCTTTTCACGTTGCACCGATGATTCTTTCCTCTTCTTTGTTTGTTTGGGAATATGGTATGATATGTATATTCATAGTTACACTTTATTTCTGTCCTGCTGTACATTGGGCTTGACTCTAGCATCATAGAATGTGTTGTTGTTAGTAGATTATAGACAACCCAAGGTTAGTAGATTCAACGCAAGTGGCGGTCTAACGTTTTGGTAATCGTCTTCTTCAGAGCCAATGTAGTAAGATATTCATAATTTGATGTTTTTCTTACCAAAAACCTCCTCCATCCTCGGCCAGAGTAAACGACAGTTGAGTTTCACGAGGTCATAACCAGAATCAAGCAAGGGGCGTGGCACACGATCGCTGGTTACGACCCCCTCCCCCTGAACTATATACCTAAGATAGCATTACCAGAGTTGAGAAAGAGGTCAGGCACAAGTCTTTCGAAACACCCCCCCCCCCATGAAAGCCCTCAAACGACCCCTTCTTCCTCCTCTTAACCTCTAGACCTTGAAGTGTGACATTCTGGAGGAACCATCTTTTTCTAGAGAGTTTTTTCAGATTTCTGAGAGCTGTACGCCCGATTTTCTGTGACTGCACTTTACAATCACACGTAATTTGACGGCTGATTTTGATCTGAATGGGCATATTGAATGGGCCATAATTTTCTTATGGGTGGGGCGTTCGGCTTCAAATTTCCAATGTAGCAAGAAGTAGCTATGTGCTCAATACTCACAGCAATGGAACGCTTTCTGGATTTTGAAGGCAAGTTAAGGGGTGTGCCGCACCCCATTAACTATATCAAAAAAACATTTTTAGCGGACAGTATTTATATGAATCGATAGCCTAAACCTTGTAGATTCCATAGGACTGTTTGGAGCCTGATATGTCTTCTTAGCTCTAAGTAATATTTGGTGAAAACACAGCGATCAAAAGCGAAAAATGGGAAAAACGAGATTTTGGTTGGCTTCTAATTCCACAGTTTGCAGGTCTTCTGAAGCGGGATTCCTGAGGTGGACAGAGAAGGAGTAGTGCTTTGTCTTGAGTGCAAAAACGGATAGCTAATTCACCTTTGAAACAAAGTTAACCATGTTGGAATTTGACCATTTCATTTAGGTAGCCTGGTATCTTGAATCTTCAGAATTCGCTCACACTTTGTCTACAGGGGTTAATTGACATGCTAATTATGGATATGATACGAATATCATGTTATCACTATTATCAGATTACCCAACTACGATCCCCTCTTCTTTTGACTCCTCAATACGACCCCCCAGGTGTGGCGTGCCCCACCCCACGCTTGACCCTGGTAATAACTCAAGCACAAGCCTATCATGGTACAGATATCTGGTTAACTCTTAGCAAAATTCGGGCAAAAGCAGACTTCCCTCAAAAGTGCGTCAACCCATGACAAAGTTTGGGCCAATGGGTCCAAAAACGAGCGCAAAAAATTCTGAAAATGGTCACTTGTTTTCGAAAATATTGTTGTATTTCAAGTTTTGTGCGGCCATAATGGAAGCTTTGCTTGAATTGTTCGCATAACAGTAAACAGGCGTGACCAGTACAGGGTCAAAATTCTTATTCGGCACGGACTTTATTAAGATGGGGGATGCGTCAGTTCTACGCCAAAAACATTTTTTGTTCGGCTGTTCTCTCTCAAGGTGCCACAGTGGGTAATTTTATCCTATCGTTGGTTTATCTTGCTTTGTCTTGGTATGAACACTAATACTAATGATTCATAACATCATTTACAATATTCAAAGTAGATCTAAGTAAACTAATTACAATAACGAAGTTTGTCCTTGTATACTATATGACCTGATGACCTGTATTCTCCCGCTTGAATGTTGGTATCTTTGATCTCAATCAATGGGAGCTGTGAGGTAAATAATTCTATGAACAAGCTTGGATGCTAAAATTTTCCCTGCTGACCAGCTTCGTTCCCTGATATCCTTAGCAATGAAATTATTATTTGTTTTCATCGCTATCATCAATATCTCTTGGAATGAAAGTGCTAGAATATTTGTGAAAACTGATGCCACTGCCGGCTATCTTCAATTGATAGTAATTTAGGTTTAACTTTACATACAATACACTGGTAAATAGATGGAGAATTTACATCGGGAGTAAGTGTAGACATGTGGAGAAATGCATTAAACCACTGACTTTTGACAGAGTAAGGTTAATATTTTAGTTGTAAGTTTTACCAGTCCACTATTTCTCCAGATCTTCGTTCGGCTAGACTATGACGAATGCTCTCATGCACATGATCTCGCGATTATCACTTTGAGAAGCAAGGTAGGAGAAAATGCTGGTATTCCAATCTGTCTGCCCGAAAGACGACAAGTTCTTCGAAAATTTCTCAGTGCAGTGGGAGCTGGCTACGATCGTGAGTCTTTTGAAAAGCTCTGGGTAAGGCAGCATGGTAGAAATGTGTTAATCTAAGTAAAAGTAAAGTGGAACCGATAGGTATTTTGATTTGTCGAAGTTTATGAATTAATGGAGGTTAAAGGCAGTGGCTCGGCAAAACTGAACATTTCGAAATTTCGATATGTAAGGTTGCTTGCACCTCAAACATGAGAATGAGCAGTCCGAGCACACAGCATGTTGCTCCTACCTGGAAAACTGCTCCTAAGCGAGTGCGCACAAGCTATTCTTACACGCGCTCAGACGAGCTTGCAATTTTCCTTCCACCGTCAGAGGCGAATGCTATAGACATGAGGATCCCAAAGCGACTCTACGTCTCTAACCATTGCGGGAAGCGCTCCACTCGTCCAGATCCAAAATAAGGGGTATCAAGAATTGCTGGTTTTCGTCGTTTTCAGGTTATTCAAAATGGATTTTCGGAATCAGCGCATCGAATTACCTCAGGAAATCAAAAAAAATTCGGGTCGAGGATTTGCCGAGCCACTGCCTTTAAGCCGCAAATTTCCTGCCGTACTTTATTCCAGACTGCGTGTTTTCGCTGCATAAATTTCATTTTAGCAACACAAAAAACGAGGGATAAGTTTTTTGGCGGGCTCCAGAAAGCAAGCTTGTTGGCCTTCGAGCGCGATGATTTTATCGAGACAAAGGGTAGATTCTCTGCATTGTGTTCGGTCCGTTAACTGTACAACTGAACTCACAATAATCTTTGAAAATTTATTGTAGGGCGACAGCGGTGGACCATTGTTATCCTCCTACGAAGGTCGCTTTGTCCTATTGGGCATTGCTTCTGCAGTCTATCCATCGTGTGCTGAGAATGCCGATTGTAAGTTGGAGTTGGGCAAGACCGTACAACGTGTATAGCTCTTTCAGACAGGCTAAATCGGTACGTGGATGTACGTAAATACCTTGACTGGATTTGCAAGCATACTGGTAAGTCTAAGAGTTTCGTGAAGCAGTAACATTCGCAAGCACTCTGTTTGCGACAAAACTGCTCTTATCGTTAGGAAATTCGATGATTGTTTCAGTTTTATTTACTATTGCACACAGTTCAGGAGTTTGTCCGAAACATCAAGATCAAGATGATGAAGAAAATGACTAAAGAACAAGTCTTCATAACTTTTATTGTTATTTTTCACCATCTATTCAAAACGAGTGTTGAAAATGAACTACAATTTTGTGTGTTGAGTTGATGACTTCCTGTAAAGTGAAAGGTTCGCACAGTCTTGGCAACTGGGATCCTACGAACGTCACATGTTTATTGATGATGCCTCACACTTGACTAATAAACTGTGTCAAATAACTTTAAAACGAGCAAACAACGTATAATACTATCAATACATTAACCACAGTGAAATGCATTTATTGTTGGTTCTCGCAAACTAAAGTGAATCACAAACATCCGCTCAAACAAGCAATAGATGGCATCCGATGCTGTGCTTGTGTCGGTTATACAATAACCGAGATATAAAATTGTCGCATTCTACAATATTCGCCCGCGAAACAGTTCCACTGAAGTGATGAGAGCTTCACAGCACACCCTTGGAGATATTTGCTCTTCCTCAATGCACGAACTTCACGACAGCTATCACTTCCAAGTGGTAGCAGAAAAGGAGATCCTATGCTTTATTCGGAGGTTTATGGAGTTAGCAAAGGTAGTAGCCTTGTATGTTATACTTATAATAGCAAACTATGTTGGGATAGAATCAGACTGGCTTCTAGATCTAAGTGAGTGTTGCCTGAGATCATATTTTGAAGTTGTAGTGGTTTTGTGCTGCTTTAACACATACTGACGACCATGCAGATATTTAGTTGTCTGCCTTCTGGGACCAAGGCCTTTCACGGACCAGCCCACATTTTTCAACTATAATTACGCATACTGCCAGCTACAGTACACCTATCTGAAACTGACTAGAAAGGTAAAAGTCATTCCTAAACTCAGTGGAGTGGCTCGTGGAGTGAGATTATCCCAGGATAGTAGCCATTTTAACATTCAAGCCTTGATACACATGACGTGTCAAGCAATCTTACGCGGTAGTCATTGCTTGACACACCATGTGTGTCGAGCGGTCGTCAATATGTTAAAGGTGTTCGGACAAGGTGGGGGTTTGGGATTTCACTGCCATGCAAAAGTGGCCCCCTTCAGACACGCCACTGCACGAGTACGATGTTATAGAGTTCGACCTAAAGCAGGGTAGGGAAACGAAAGCCGCCACTTTGAACCGCCTCCGGGGACTACTGGTCTTGAAACGAAGTGCAACGACACGGCCAAAGGGCCATTGTCGCGAAAGGCGGCTCATACTGGCGGCCTTCGTTCCCCTACACCCTAAAGCAAGAAAAATGACCGTGAAGTGGGGGAACTTACGCCTCGAGGTGGGGTCCTCCAACAAGTTTGAATTCCTGTTATGCGGCCGAGTACTCAGGGTAGAGGAACGAACGCCTCAATTAGGCATCGCCTCCGCGGGCTGCTGGTCCTTTCGTCCTATGTGCATCGTGTTGGGACAAGTGGTCCGCGGAGGCGGTGCCTAACTGAGGTGTTCGATCCTCCACCCGAGTACGCATGCCGCCACAGTAAAAATCGTGGGGTCCCGCATGCGTCTCAGCCTTGGCGAGAACCGTCGAATTTCAAATTGTAAAGCTTTGGAAAACGCATGTTCTCACCGTTTTCGCGCCTTTAATGTGATTTTTCGGATCTAGCGTTGCGAATAATAACCCTCGGTAAGTGGATTTTTTAAAAATAGAGTTTTTGCCCGGACACTGCCTTCAAGTTCAGGGGTTTTTTGTTGGTGCGTGCATACTTTCTAATTTGTATTGTAGTAGTCGCACTTCATGTGCAACAATCAATGGGGTTATCCAAAATGAATGGGGCACCTTAATTTTTCGTAATTTCAAAAGGTTTCTCTCTGATTGACAATGAATAAGTCGGTGTAAACGGTTTTGTATAAAGTGACATTCGCAAGTTATCCTTATAGTACCTTGCAGATGCTCTAAACGATCCTTTGAGCGGCGTTTTGAAAATTTTTGAGCCGATTTTGTGCTGCTGTACTTCAACATTCCTAGGCATGTATCTTGTATCTTAGCATTAGGAAAAGCTCTCCCAACTCTTTTCGAATGACTACTTGAAAGTGTAGAAATTCTTCATTTTGTAGCAAAGAAGCAGATCATTAGAAAAGGTGCGATTTTTGGCGTAGATTTTGGTGAAAGAAAAGTTTTCCGGAAATGTTCGAAGTTTCTGGTCTCAGGTACTTCCGAATTGACTTTTGACTGCTTTTTGTTCCATTATGCTCGCAACCCAAAGTCCAAAGAATTTAATCAAAGTAAGAAGAGACAAGTTTCTTCAAGCTTACTTCAGTTTTTGTTTGGCGCAATTGATGCAGGTTTTCACAACTTTTTTCTAAATGTCGGTTCCAAAGAGAAAACAGTCTTTCATCAAAACAAAACTTCTCGTTCTCCTAAAAACTCTTTTCTTCTACTTTTCAAATAGGATTTCGTTTTCGCAGTAATAAGTTTTTCTCGAGTATTTCTCGGAAAACAAGGGTGTACGCCGAAGTTGTTTTCTTGAGGCCCGAGTCTGTCTGCCTGTGTGTATTTATGTTCCGAATGGGAATTTTTATTTCTGAACTGATACGGAACAAACTTTGCACACATACACTTCGGGGCGGGCGGGTATCTCATGCTACTTTCCATTATATTAGGTCGTCCCGAATCTTGCGCACGATTTTCAAAAATTCATAACTTGTGATTTTTCCGACCGATTTGACTGTTTTTATATTTGTATGAAAGTGTAAGTCATGTTCTTTATAAAGGCATCTTAGCTGCTTGCTAATAATCATCTGTTGCATAGATAGGAGCGGTAGAAGAAAATTAGTCAAAATTCGAATTTTCTGTGTAGGGGCATAAAAAATCGGAGCAGTCGGTATTGCAGGTTCTTTCACCAGCTCTTTCTAACAGTGCGAAATTTGCGACAATTGAGCGTCTCTCTGAAAAGTTATCATTTTCGAGCAAGCAATACAACAGGGCGAACTTGATTTATTTTGGCATTTTTCAGGAAAATCGTGACTTTTCATAGAGACGCTCAATCGGCGTAAATTTCGCACTGTTAGGCCTTGGGCATGCCTCGCGCGATTTCAGTCGCCACGCGATTTGGCAATGCTCCAAATGTTCATAACTCATCCTACGGGGTTTTTAAATGTACGGAAGATGCGATATTTTATCAACCTACGAAAGTTATACATGCTGTGCATCTGGGGTCTACCAGTATTGAATTTGAAAACATCTGGCAAATTGCCAGATCGCGTGGCGACTAAAATCGCTTGAGGTATGTCCCTTGCCTTAGAAAGAGCTGGTGAAAAAACCTACAATACCGACTGCTCCGATTTTTGTTGCACGATTTTTTATGACCCTACACAGAAAATTCAAATTTTGACCAATTTTCTTCTATCGCTCCTATCTATGCAAAAGATGATCATTACTAAGCATGTAAGATGTCATTTTAAGAGCTTGACTAGCTCTTTCAGATAAAAATAAAAGCAGTCAAATCGGCTGGAAAAATCAGAAGTTGTGAATTTTTGAAAATCGTGCACAAGAGACGGGACGAGCTAATAATTAGAAGTGAATATTCGTGTTCGAATAATTTATTCGAAATACTCTTCGAATATTCGAATAATCAAATATCTGAGAAAGTCCAATTATGAATCAAAATATGCAAAAATTTCGAGGGCCGCACGGTCCTTTGTGGAGGACCGCGCAACCCCCAGGTACTTTCCGCTGAGAGAAAGTACCTCAAACTTGAGTAATTAAACCAACGGTGACACCTCTGCCACACAGAGTCTTACCTGCGCTCGACGTACGCTCGAAAATGCCTTAAAAGAGTCCGAGCGCTTGCTGAAAGTTTGGCCAACGCTCGCTGAAAGAAATTATTTGCCGAGCGCTTGCAAAAAATGCTGTATTGCTGCCCTCTGGCAGAATATGCGACCGTAAAGGAAGTGCCGCCCGCTGAAGGTTTGGCCACGCCCCAAAATTCTGCTGACCGCCTGCAGAAAAGCGCGAGTTTGCGGACCGCCTGCCCCCGGCGATTATCTGAGAGTGCGTCACTTCACCACTGATTCCATTAGTGTAGCCTTCTTCGTGCTCTCCCAGTGCTAGTCTTGAAATTCTAAGAACCCAAGCGATGCGCACTATAAACAACTGCCTATTCCAAAAGGTTTCCATGTTGAATATGTAGCTTTGGGAGGAAGTTCCGTGTATCTTTGAGGGAAACTTCTGTGAGGAGAAAATTAAGGACTTGAAAGGTTACTAAGTAAGGCTTAGTAGCCCTTTTAAAGGACAGTGAACACCTTAAAGTACATGTTTGAGTGAAATTCTTATTAGTTTCCTAGGTAGAACCCTGACCAAGCAACATTAGTCAGTCATCCTCAGCACTTGCTACGCATATGATAATTGGCTACAAATCTAGATCAAATATAGCAATTTTTTTGCAGAATACTGCACCAAAGAAAAAACCGGCAATGTTCGAGCTACTTTATTCGAATTATTCGAATAGTCGAATATCTGGACAGGTATGACTATTTTAATATTCGAATAGTTCAATATTCGACCATATGTAATTATTCGATAAATCGAATAGTCGAATATTCGACCAACCACATTTATTAGATCAGCGTTTATTCGAATTTTGAAAGCATTATTGGAATATTCGAATTCGAATAATCTGAAAATCACAGATCGAATAATATTCGATCTGTGATTTTCAGATTACTCGAATAGTTCGTTGTACGTTCGCTGGTTCGAATATTTTTCAAAAGCCAATTATTCCATATTCGTTCATTCGACAAAATTTTTCAGTCGTTACTATACTCTTCACTACGGATCAACATCGATTATCGATTTTTTGCAAAGTTCGAGCTACGGGGCTGGGAATTGGCATAGGGACTCAGATAACCGCCGGGGCAGGCGGCCATGCGAATTTTGAGCAAGCGCGCACCTGAAAAATAGTTCGTTGATTTTTTGCGGCCCGCTTGCAGAAATTTGGAAGAAAGTTGGCGAAATCAAAGACGAATGCTTGAAGAACAATCGCGGTTTCTTTATGGATTAGCTGCGGCGCAGTGGCCGCATTCTCGCGGACTTTCCGCGAAAATATGCAAAAATTTCGAGGGCCGCACGGTCCTTTGTGGAGGACCGCGCAACCCCCAGGTACTTTCCGCTGAGAGAAAGTACCTCAAACTTGAGTAATTAAACCAACGGTGACACCTCTGCCACACAGAGTCTTACCTGCGCTCGACGTACGCTCGAAAATGCCTTAAAAGAGTCCGAGCGCTTGCTGAAAGTTTGGCCAACGCTCGCTGAAAGAAATTATTTGCCGAGCGCTTGCAAAAAATGCTGTATTGCTGCCCTCTGGCAGAATATGCGACCGTAAAGGAAGTGCCGCCCGCTGAAGGTTTGGCCACGCCCCAAAATTCTGCTGACCGCCTGCAGAAAAGCGCGAGTTTGCGGACCGCCTGCCCCCGGCGATTATCTGAGAGTGCGTCACTTCACCACTGATTCCATTAGTGTAGCCTTCTTCGTGCTCTCCCAGTGCTAGTCTTGAAATTCTAAGAACCCAAGCGATGCGCACTATAAACAACTGCCTATTCCAAAAGGTTTCCATGTTGAATATGTAGCTTTGGGAGGAAGTTCCGTGTATCTTTGAGGGAAACTTCTGTGAGGAGAAAATTAAGGACTTGAAAGGTTACTAAGTAAGGCTTAGTAGCCCTTTTAAAGGACAGTGAACACCTTAAAGTACATGTTTGAGTGAAATTCTTATTAGTTTCCTAGGTAGAACCCTGACCAAGCAACATTAGTCAGTCATCCTCAGCACTTGCTACGCATATGATAATTGGCTACAAATCTAGATCAAATATAGCAATTTTTTTGCAGAATACTGCACCAAAGAAAAAACCGGCAATGTTCGAGCTACTTTATTCGAATTATTCGAATAGTCGAATATCTGGACAGGTATGACTATTTTAATATTCGAATAGTCCAATATTCGACCATATGTAATTATTCGATAAATCGAATAGTCGAATATTCGACCAACCACATTTATTAGATCAGCGTTTATTCGAATTTTGAAAGCATTATTGGAATATTCGAATTCGAATAATCTGAAAATCACAGATCGAATAATATTCGATCTGTGATTTTCAGATTACTCGAATAGTTCGTTGTACGTTCGCTGGTTCGAATATTTTTCAAAAGCCAATTATTCCATATTCGTTCATTCGACAAAATTTTTCAGTCGTTACTATACTCTTCACTACGGATCAACATCGATTATCGATTTTTTGCAAAGTTCGAGCTACGGGGCTGGGAATTGGCATAGGGACTCAGATAATAGCCGGGGGCAGGCGGCCATGCGATTTATGGGCGGGCGGGCACCGGAAAAATAGTTCGCTGATTTCTTGCGGTCCGCTTGCAGATATTTGGAAGAATTTTAGCGAAATTTTAAACGAATGCTTTGGAGAACAATCGCGGTTTCCTTATAGATTAGCTGCGGCGCAGTGGCTGCGTTCTCGCGGACTTACCGCAAAAATGTCCAAATTTTCGAGGGCCGCACGGTCCTTTGTGTGGAGGACCGCGCAGCACCCAGGTGCTTTCCGCTGAGAGAAAGTACCGCAAACTTGCGTAATTGCATCAACGGTGGCACCTCTGCCACATAAAGCTTAACCGTGCTCGGCGTAAGCCCGAAACTGCGTAAAAAGAGTCCGAGCGCCTGCAGAAAATTCTCTGTTGCTGCCCGCTGGCAGAACATTAGACAGTAAAGGAAGCACCGCTCGCTGAATGTTTGGCCACGCCCCAAAATTCTGTTAACCGCTTGCAGAAAAGCGCGAGTTTGCGGACCGCCTGCCCCCGGCGATTATCTGAGGAGTTGAGTGAGCATGCTGATTACGAATCTAATTGACAGAGACGGTCGGAGCAGGGTTTGGCAGCTAGTATGCTATTAGGGCAGATTATTCTGTTGAATCCTCAACCTCGCAACATCACGCACCTTCACACTCAAAACTCATACGATTCGAAATGTCAGCTGTAAATGACCAACCCAAAAAAACAATTTTTCGAATTCTTGGTTCTGGTCAAGAACTCGTGGATCGGCCTTCTCTGCGCAGTGCGACAGAGTAAGTTTCACACTTTGAAAGCTGCCACGTCACATCGGCTGCCAGTACTATACATGAGCTGTAAGCAGTCGATATTCTATAATAGATAATTCCAATCTTTATTACACTTTTGAAATTTTGGTTTTCGGCGATCCACTTCTAGGTCGCCTCATTCTTTCACTATCTAAAAAGACTATTCGAACGGTGCCGTCTTCTTCCTGTTGAGTCTTTCTTTTTGATAGGAGACAAACCTGCCATCATGATCAGTGGCGGTCCCAGGATTTCGGACCGGGGGGGGGGGGAAGGCACAAAATTTTTTTTTCAAATGAAGGTGCGTGGCGTGGCGTTAGCCACGCACCCCGAAAAATTTTTTGGGGTGCTTCTCAAATTTTTGCGGGTCCCCAACCCCTAACATCTGGAAAAAGAGGGCGTGGCGTCAACCACGCCCCCGAAAAAAATTTTTATAGGGCTAATCTGAATTTTTAAAAAATTTAAAAAATTGTTTCAATCTTTACAAAAAAAAACAAGTCGTTTGCACATTCTTATAACCCATATAGGTAAGTTTCCAAATTTCGCGACCCATTCTGGGGGGGGGGGGACCCCCCTCCCCGGTACGCCACTGATCATGATGTATATGCCAAAAGGCGCGATCTTACTATTAAAAATAAATTCAAAGCACAAATGCTGAATGTCGGTACTCGCCGAAAATGCACTTATAAGAAAAAAACGTAAACATTTCACTCGGTTTTTCATCGAAATCCGTCAAACTCAGAAAACAACTTCAAACAGCTAGAAAGGCAAAGCACTCTGTTCGGTACTTTTTGAAGGTTCGCATAAAACTGAGACGGTTTTATGCAATTTTCAATTGTTTTTGGTTTTTCATTTGATAATCTATGATCGTCTCCACGATTCATTATTACAGGCGGGTTGCGGACTTCTCCTGATTTTAAGGATGAACTTGTTAGATCTCCTCGTCATAGCATTGTTTTTCGTACTCTCTCGCTATCAAAAACTGCCACGCATTGAGTTGGCAAAACCCTGCCTCTACACGAATCGTGGAGTCGATCGTAAATATTAGGGACCGTGCGTGTCGCACTCCCCCTCTCTCGCGCAGTGCTTCTGCCGTGAAATAGGAGACGTATAGTGTATCCAACAGGACGCCTCACAGTTCACGCTGCTTTGTAAATTCAAAGTGCAATATTTCCCTTGCGATAACTTGCTATTACAAATTGGCTATTATTTCTATAGTTTATAGTTGATCATGTCGGAAAGTCTGCTATTTTTTGCATGTGGCACAATATAGCAAGGTTCCTGACTCTTCACAGTCGTTGCGTTTGTTCAGAACACGTGTTGTAGTTTGCTTTCGAACTTTTGACCAATCTACTTTTGCAGATTCCATGAAAGCTAGTCGGCCTACTCGATAGTATGAAAATCAAGGCGGTTGAGTTCTATTCAGGAATCGGAGGCATGCATTACGCTCTCAGAGGTTAGCCGTTTTTTTTGTACAAATGTTTTCAATGCGAACGTATTCACCGCTACGGTCTTCCCAAATGCCTCTGAAATTACCAGTTCTCATTTATCCGCTGCTTGTGTTTTCATTCTGGGTCTCCAATGGTGTCGGATTCGCGCATGATTATCAAAGTCTGGGTACCATCTTCTTTCTGTCTTATAGCATTGCAATGTAGATAGTGCTAAAATCTGTTCAACAATGAATGATTGCTAAAATGATCACCTGCAGAGGCATTTGCGGATTCGTGTGTTCTTGCTGCGTGTGATATCAACACAACTGCGAATGAGATATATGCTTATAACTTCCCGGAAACGCGACTGCTACAAAACAACATTCAGGTATTTTCTTATCTCTGTCTTTGTCTAGTTCCATATGTACTTACGTTACATTCTTCATCGCAGGCTCTTACAGTCAATAAGCTGGATAAAATGGAAGCGGATTTATGGATGATGAGTCCTCCATGTCAGCCATTCACTAAGGGCCGCATGCACTAACATCCCCGCGGGGAGGGGATCGCAGCTTAAAAGAAAGCTTTATATTTCGAAACTCCAGATACCTGGATTTCACGTTGCGTACCTATCCGTAAGTATTCCTATTACCCTTCACTATGAACATGTTAAACAGGAGCGAGAAGCTGTACAAACCGCATTTTCTAGCTTTTGTATGATCCCTGATGATCCCTGGCGCTTTTCTTCAAAGTCATTTTTCTTTCTCCGAAGTTAACGAAGAATCTCCAGAGTTGTGCATATTGTCTAACCCGACAGTGCTAAGCATGTTGCTGCTAAGAACAAATGATGTTTTGAAGTCATGAAATTTGCGATGATCCACAGGTCGAAATTTGAGGCTTACCGAAAAATTCGACTTTTCAAAAAGTCATTTGTTCTCATCAGCAACATGCTTAGCAGTATTGTGTTAGATGTTCAGTACAACTTTGGAAGGCTTTCTTTAACTTCGGAGAAAGAAAAATGACTTTAAAGAAAAGCGCCGGGGATCATTAGGGATCATACAAAAGCTGGAAATTGCGGTTTGTACAGCTTCTCACTCCTGTTTAACATGTTCATAGTGAAGGGTAGTAGGAATACTTACGGATAGGTAGACAGCGTGAAATCCAGATATCCGGAGCTTCAGGATATGAAGCTTGATTCTGGAGCTGTGATCCCCTCCCCGCGGGGATATTAGTGCATGCGGCCCTAAGTGTGTAAGCTTTTCAGATCTTTGTTCAGACTCATATATTGCAATTGACGAGAAGGTGTTAGATTTCGTTTGCGTTTTTATATTCTTCCTATCATGACAACGCAACACCAGGAATTCATTGAGCATAGTACACATTCATCGTTTGATGCTTGATCTCGCGTTACATCCTACATTTGCAGTTCTCTTTGTAGTGCCATCTCTATTTTTATTGTCGGATTGATATGAATACATGGCAAAGGAAATCTTTGACATTGCATGCTTCTCTTAACCCACCATGCTGTCCTATCTTCCTGTCCTTCTAATTCTTTGTGATTCATGGTGCTCTGATTTCGCGCAGCTCAAGAAATTTTATCATTGAGATCAACCTATCTTTTGGTACTCATTTTCATCGTCCAATTTTTTTTCCGTTTGTCATCTCTTGTAGCCGCCTATCACTCCCTCGATTCTTTTTGCCCCTAACTCGTTTTTGCTTACCTTTTGCGGTTCGAAATGTTTTGAACTCTCATCTCTACCTCAAAAATCGGAAAATATTGAAGGATGAAGTAGTTTTTTAGTTTTTGTCGTCAGCATATCCACAAAAAATGAAAATACTACCCGAAAACCATCTTGACTTATTATGAAAAGCGTGAATTTCATTTCGTTCCTTGTGAATTCAACGCTGTTTGCTAATACAAAGGGTATGAGATGAGCGAAAGTAAGGAAAGGAGATGAGATAGAAGAGGATAAGTGTGGTAAGGCAAGAGCAAGTTGATATGGGCTCGCATATTAGATACCCACACGTACACCAAAATATCCATTGTTTTGATCATGCCGGTTTCTTATAAAACGGAGTGGCCAGCATATTGCCAAGTCGTCTCCCAAAAAAGACATATAATGGTTGAAACTCAGCTCTGTATTCTAGCCAATACCGTAATCTTTCCCAATGATTTAGCAGCATCCTCGCATACAGTGAGGAAATTACGGTCTGGGTTGGAGTTTTCTCAGTCTCTCGGCCACTATTGAATCATGTAAGCTGCTGCAATGGTTTAATTGAGGTTTTAATCAGTTTTCGTGGGAAAAGGGACCCAAGGCCTGAACATTGCTTTGCATGAGGTTGCCAGCTAGTGTACGGTAGCATCCCAACTACTCCAATCTATTCGTGAGATCCATCATTGAATGGATCCATATGGGTAACATAATGCATGACACTATCACTCAGAATCAACGAGTATGTTTTACAAACGACTCCATCCTCATTGTTTTCTAGAGTGTCTTGAATATTCACTCAAGCGACGATGGATTCTGAGCATTTTCCATCGTCACAATCTTGCTCTTCGTCATATGTGGTGCGTGAATCACCTTTGGAGGGCAGACCAGCTACATGTAAACAGGGCTCGGCACAGGTGGCTTACGAGCAAGATGGATATCGTTTTTGGGACAAAAAACAAAGGGGGTTTCGTTTTTGTGGCCGAAAAGATTCAAAATTTGCGACGTTTTTTAAGTCGACGTTCCGTTTTTTGGAGATTTTTTAGGGATTGTGGACTAGGGTCAAAGAGGAGTTTGTAAAAATTTGCAAAAGTCAAGGTGACCTCGTTTTTTGCATTTTCAACTAGCCACCTCGTGCCGAGCCCTGCATGTAAACAAATTTTATAGATCTGCTTGATTTGCTTTACTGCTCACACAATCTAAACCTTGCATTTATTTTATGTCAACATCCGTTCTTTTGAGATAAGTTGACGTTTGCGTGGATTAGAGTCTCCTTCATTTTCTTTTGATACATTGACTTCCACAAAGAAAAATTAGGTTGTAAGTTACAGTGCTTTCGCTATCGTTTAGCAATCGTTATTTAGGAAAGGTCTCCAGCGTGGCGCAAATGACAAACGTTGTGATTCACTCTTTGCACTTATGGAAAAGCTCAAAGTCATGAAATCTCGGCCATCTTATATCTTGCTAGAGAATGTGGTTGGATTTGAAGCATCTACCGTGCATGATGCCTTAGTCGAAATTCTCAGTGAACTCGGTTATGGACTAAAGGTATTTTGAGACTATTGTTGCCGCGTACTACATCCAATTTTCTAGGAGTGCATCCTTTCGCCGCTTCAGTTTGGAATTCCAAATTCTCGTCCTCGTTACTATCTGCTGGCTTCCAGCAATCTTCCAGCCACTGGTGTCGCTGAAGATATCAGCGAATTTCTGCAGCAAAGCTGCTCGGACGGGTCTCGAGAGATCGGTGTTTTTTTGGATGAGTCGTCGGTTACTCCTTCACTGTTCCTCGACAAGGATTTGCTTGAAAAGTACGGACCCGCTCTAGATGTTACGTTGACAACCTCTACAAGATCCGCTTGTTTTACAAAATCTTATGGGAGCTACATATCTGGATGTGGTTCATATTTTTGTTACAGGTGAATTTAAGCTTCTGAGTTACAACGCTTTTTCTCATTCAGATCTGATTTCGTAGTGGAAAAACATCTCACCAAAATTGCTTTGGAAAATCTTGAAACCCTTTCGCAAGCTGTTCGACGGTTTTCTCCAAGAGAAATGGCAAACCTGATGTGTTTTCCGGAAGATTTCAAATTCCCGGTTAAATCATCACATAGACAATTATATCAATGTCTTGGAAATTCCATTAATGTTCATGTCGTTGCAGTTGTTTTGAGATTTCTACTCAGTTGTTGATTTTATTGTTATGTCTCTGTTGTTGAGCATACTGATCGTTGTTACTGTGATCCGGATACAATACAATCTTCTATCAAATTTTATTAGTCAATTGGTAGTGGGCATGGCTACTGCCGGCAACTTTTTACTTTTATTCTCAAAGATGACCATCTTGTGAATGCCCAAGTACGATCAAGGTGAAAATTTCACCGATCCAGAACAAACATATTTCATGTAAAGGGGATTTCTTTTGCGCATTTTTTTTCTGCAAAATGGGCTCAATGTGTCTTTTTATTACAGTACTTCCTTCAAGTTTTTGATTTTTTCAGCAAGTTTTCTAAGTAGAAGGTTTTTAGCTTGGGATTATCACCATGAACAGAACAGCTTACTTTACCTATCTGTAAAGATTAATCGAATAACGCAGGATAATGCATTACCAGAACACAACAAAAGTGAGGGACCTGCGCTTCAAATCGAGCTTATTTGGCACTTGTCATCTTTCTTACAAAGTAGAATAGCCTCGAACAGGGCTCAGATGAGCTGACACCAAGAAAATTTCAAACGAAGTCTTTTTTGATATTGAAAATTTTGTACGAACCTTGGACCCTAAACCCAACGTAAAAAATCCCCAAAAAACAAAAGTGGATCAAAAGACGTTGCATTTCGGGCATAAAAACTGTATTCCCTTTGCCTTTTATCCCAAAAACGATATCCAGCTTGACCCGGTGCCAGCTAAGCCGAGCCCTGGTCCTGAAGCGTTGTGTCTTGCAAAAGTGGCAAAAAGAAATGGAGCTAGCCTCTACCTCTAATCGGGCTTTAGAGGGTATCTTTGCAACAAAAATGGCTGTTATACCATATAATTAATTTTTTCTTGGCAGCGGTAATTCGTTTCTTAGTTTCTGCTACAACTTTAGCGAGTTGCTTGCTCTTACAAATTGAGAAAGGCGTTACAGAAATCAGCTTAAAGAAGGAAATTATCTCAGTAAACTTTTTTCTTCACAGAGAATCTTGCGCCTGGCAATAGCTGTAAATTGTTTGAAAAACTGAAGATGATAGATAGGGGTTATCTCATTGTGGGTGGCAACATTGCTCCATCCTGAAATTTTGCTAAACTGTCTCTTTCAGTGTACTTTTCGCCGTAGATCAACTCATTTCTTGTGAGTGAATTTTGATATGAATAAGTATTATATTTTACCTAATTATCTTAGGCGAATGGAGTTAGACACGAAACCCGGGAGGTGTTCAAATTCTTCATTTCACCAAATTAGGCCTCGGGCAGAGTTCACGCGATTTAATCGTTGCGGTTGATCGCGACAAGACAAGTGTAACAATATCATTGCATGCCGATTTTCTTGCATTTCGGTTGTGATAGTTTTTCAACACGACTAATTTTGACTAACTATCACAACCGAAATACAAGAAGATCGGCCTGCAATGAACTCGTAACACTTGTCTTGTTGCGATGAATCGCGACGATGAAATCGCGTGAACTCTGTCCGAGGCCTTACAAACTTTACGTTTTTTTTTTCTTGATCCCATAACTCTGTCGCAGAAACACACTTGTACTGTATGACCAAGTGAGTGATTTCTATAAGTGAAAGTAAGTAAGCCGCTTGAATTTTGAGGCTGAATATATAGCTAACACTACTATATCTTAGCCATAGAGCATTCGATGAAAATTCAAAGCTTTTCAGCATTTTATATTAGAAGAGCATGTAGAGCAAGGTCTGAAAAATAGTGACTCAGTAAACAGTTGACATTCTTAAACGATTCATTCTATGTCAAGGTTACTGAAGAACCGCAGTAGAGCAGTAATAAATACAGTATTGTTGTCTAAAAATATGCACAAGTTCGGTTGACTGTGACATAGAGATCTTCAGTTGACATTTTTATATTATTGTGCACTGTCAAAGCGGGCTAAATACGGATCTCTGGAATAGCATTGAATAACACAAAGGTTTTGTAATATAGGACTGGCTTTAACTTAAATTTAGATCCACAATATCAGAGCGAATCACGATTGCTCTTCATTATTGTGAAGCTGTAGTAAGTTGTAGAGAAAAAAGGTTGAAAAGGTTCCAAGTTCGTAGTCACATTTTGCTTCAGGGATGGCCAAACAAGCCGAAAACACTTATACACGTATAATTTATGTCACTAAATTAATTATAACATCTTTATCAGTCACTAGTTGGCAAACCCGGCTCCGTCCGGCCTTGTCAATAACATATTTGTAATCAGCATGTTCGATTACCCCCCTGTGCCAACTCCCAGCCCCGTAGCTCAAATTCTGCAAAAAATCGCTGAAGTCGATATCGATCGATGACGAAAAGTAGCCTATGACACCCGCTGGGGCCCGAAGTGTATGTGTGCCAAGTTTGGTCCGGATCGGTTCAGAAATGGAATTTTCTATTCGGAACATACGTACATACAGACAGACATACAGACAAACATTCAGCTTTATATATATGAATTTCAGACATACCGTAGCAACTGTTCTTCCAACGTTTTCCAAAAATGTGATTACACCATAAATATTCAGAGAGACTTGTTAAAAGTTGAACAGTGAAGAAGCATGCTTGAACCCCCTGCTATATTAGCAGTTAGTCATTACCCATTGAGACAATGTGGACCACAGGTGGCCCCCACACTTTTTGCCGCCAGGGACGATGTGGACCACCGGCGGCCCACGCACTTTTTGCCGCTAGGAACGATGTGGACCACCGGTGGCCCAACCTCTTGCAAAATCATATCCTTTCCAGGTCTCCACAGTTCAGTTCTTTTTTCCACAGTTCAGCATTTTTTCCCATTTTTTGCACTTTGGAACCTATAGAATTCGTCATCCGAGAAGATGGCTGTAGTTGTTTACAAAACATTTTCATTTCGTAAATAATCGCGAAACTTTCCTGCGCGGAAAGTGTTGTGCAAAATCGCGTCGTCCCACAGCGCGCGGCTGGGGTTTTCTACCGTAACCTACAGCTCTACAGTACGCTGAAGCGGCTAAAGGCAAGAACGAAGAGAGATACTAACGATCAAACAGAGTGCTTAATTTTCTTGAAACATTTGTATGTGCTCAAAATATCGTAGGTATCAAAAAGGGCTTCGGATTGAGCACCAATTTTGCTTTCTGGTCAAAAATGTGCACGCTGAATCATGTATTGGACGTGAATTTGGATCTAAAAAATTCCCCATTTTTTGTCAAAACTTCAAGCGGCATAATCTCCCTTGTGCATCATGACTTTTAAAAAATGTTACGCAGTATTCTGACGCATCAGTGATCACTCAGTTAGGTTATTACGTAGTATTACAGTATATTTAAGCTGGGGAAAGTGTTTCGAAAGGCATGTAGGTGTTGCTCGTAGTCATCGTCCTGCTCTGTTCCGCCCATATCATGTTTCACTGCGGGCTCTTGAAAGGCACAGGCGCTCTCACTCTAGAGTCAATATTGGAAGAGCAAGGGTGTTGCGGCTTGTGTTTTACCCGTTTCCGATCATGTCTTACTTTCACGGAGCTTTGTTTTAGTCTCTGCTTCCCCATCGTGCTTTTTTCCGAAGAATCTTGAAGTCTCTCTTGCGAAATTGGGCGTACTCGCATTCCCGCACTCATCACTCCATTTGCCCATCAACTCTTTGCCATCCCTAATTGCCGATTTTGGAATGGATGAGATTTTGATCGTAATCAGTTCTCCTAGTGACGGCCACGACCTTGCGTTTGTCACTCGTTTATTGTGGCCGCGTAATGGACCGGCTCGCGCTCCTCCCCCGTGCTGCATACCGCATCGCTACCCGTCTCCACTACCCCTCCTCCCCCGCCTCTTTGTCCTCGACCGGCTCGATTCACTCATTACCCGCGAAGCGATAAAAAACCGATTAAAGTGTGTTGCTCCCCGCACCCGATGTGATGACGGTCGATGTGGCTGGGAATTACCGCCATCGTCCTTGTTTATCCATTTGCTCACCTGTCGGCGCCGTTCGATCATTTATGCAGGCAAATTTCAGCCGATTAGCACCATTGGCGCAATCCATATGCTTTTGTGGGGTTTCTACGCACTTGCAAAATTTCCATCTCAATTCTGGACATTCTTCAATTGTTTCTTTTATATATGGAAGTTTATGGTCATGGAATCAATAAGACCTATCTTTGCCACACTCTTAGAGTTGGCGCCTACAAATTCGAAAAGCTCACAAAAATTTAGCGACAATTATCCATGAAATTTTCTCATTGACCTAAAGGCTACTGCATGATGAAGGCGCATTAGTCAAGAGGGCACGCTACGCGCGCGTACTCTCACCATTGTAAATCCTGCGCCTCATGCGCTCTGCGGCTAATAAAGCCGCGTTCGCGCCCAAAGATACTGCGCCTTCGTCATGCAGCAGCCTATAGGGTTCTTATTCTAGGTTAATGAGAAAGGTTAAGATCTACGTACCTGTCAACAAAGCGAAAGGATATTATTTGTAGTAATGCTTTTTTTTACAAACTCCCTCCCCAGAATCTATAATTATGGTTTGAATCTTCCTAAAATTGAGCTTCACGAGCCTTTGCTCAGCTTTTCAATTTTTTCCCCAAACACGGTTCTTCCACCGTACTAGACTTCTTTAAGGTATGCCGTTTGAAGGATGCCTTGAAAAATACGAATTTAAAATCTTTGAAGTGACCATCTGTCTTTTCTTTACTTTCTGGTAGCGCTGAAATTGATTAGACCTTTTTTGAGTGCTTTATAGGGCTACAGCATTTATTAGCGTGAAAGAGAAAGCAATGAAATTAGATATCTAGTTCATCGAAGGAGATTTCGTGGAACTGCTGCTAGTTATCAGGACGAGGTTACTGTGGAGTATGAGTCATGCGATAATTTACAGCACTGCGTACAACTCTCATTTCCTCCCCATCTTTCCCTCCTTCACCCTCCCCCCATTTTCCACAGCATAAGCAAATCCTTGCTCATCAGGCTGAGTCCGCATGATTCTTTCCCTTTGCAGTTAATGCATTGCTCTTGCACTGGCTTGACTGCTTGGTCATGCTGCACT